TTCGCAGGCCGGTCGGGGAAGCTTCTCTGAGCAGGCAACATCTGAGCTGGGATCTGAATGAGGGAAGAGGAGCAGGAAGGGCGAAGGCCCCCGGGGGGACACAAACGTGGGTCCTGCAGTGTGGTGTGGACCTCGTGGTTGAGGGCGTCAGGGCTCAGACTAAGGGGAGGGGCCCCTTGTGGAGACAGGGGTCCGGGAGACTCAGGAAATGGAATCTCTCTCTACTTGGTGGCCAGGAGCAAAACCTGAGCACCATCTTGATTCCTTCCATCAGCCAGACAGCCAACTGTGCAGCAAATCCTGTTGGGTCCGTTCCCAAGTGCACCTCAAAGCCGTCCACTGCGCCCCGGCTGCCGCGCCAACTAGAGCGCACCACCTCCTGTCTTGCCTGGATGGCTAAAGTAGCCTACGTGTGGTTGGTTGTCTTCTTTCCCGGCTGCAACACCTTCTCCACAGAGCGGTCTGACTCAGCTTTCATAAACAGAAATTGGAGGATATTACCCCGTGGCTTGCAGTGGCTTCCCTGTGCTTAGAATGTAGCCCTGAACCTTGACTGTGGCCCTCCCAGCCCTAGGTGGCTGTCCCTGACCACAGCTGGGACTGACCCGCCCGACCCTTGTCCTCACTGGCCTCCCCAGCGGCAATCTCCTCCTTGCCGTCCAGCCTCAGTGCCTTCACCTGCTGTATCTTCTGTGTGGAAGGTTCTGACCAAACCCCCACCCCACCCCGCCACAATCTTTGCCTGGGTGGTTCTTGGTGATCATTTAGCGAACTGCTCAGCACATCCTGCCCGGAGAGGCCCCTTAGCTGTCTGCTACTCACACTCTCGGGGGGTTCTATTGATTTCACTCTCTGAAATGATCCTTTATTTGTGGATACCTCTAGTTCTTGTTCCCCTGCCCCTGGAAAGTTACTTTCATGAGAGCCTGTTCTCTTCAGCATTTCTGAACCCTACCTTTACCACTTGGTACCTGGAACCTAAAGGTGTTCAAGGAATATCCGTTTAATGAGTCAAAGGGAGGTACCATATTTGCTTCGTTTCCCCAACACCACTCCCCCCCCCCCCCCCCCCCACACCCCCCGCCCCCCCCCCTCCCCCCTCCCCCGCCTGCCAAAAGGACAGCGCCGCGCGCAGGGGGGGTTTTTTTTCACGTCTGCCGCCATCTTAAGAACTGGTCAGTCCAGGGAGCTCGCCGTGGCTCCCCGCCACTCTGAGGCCACACCCTCCAAACCCCTTCACCCCATCCCATTGGAGTGCCCGAGCTGGGTCCAGCCCGGGCTTTGGACTTGGACAGATCTGAACCTTAGTAATTCTGTCTCTATCTCTTTCTGGCTAAGGGACCTTGGGCAGGTCTCATAATCTGAGTCTCAGTTACTATAATTAGAAAATGAAAATAATAATTATAATCATACCTAACTCACGGGGCTACCTTTAGTCAGTGCCAGGCTCATGGAAAGTATTAGTAAACATTAGCTCTGGTTAGCATTATTGTTGTCATTACTACTGATCAGTTAGCTGTTATTTTTCTTTCTGTTTAAAGATTTGTTTATTTGAGAGAGGGAGCAGGCACATGAGTGGCGGGGAGGGGGAGAGGGAGAGACAGAATCTCAAGCAGATTCCCCGCTGAGCACAGAGCCTGCCCGGGGCCTTGATCTCACAACCCTGAGATCAAGACCTGAGCCAAAACCACGAGTCAGACACTCAACTGACTGAGCCCCCCAGGCCCCCCAGTTAGCTGTTATTTTTCAAGGCCCTTCCTGCCACCTTAGCCTTCAGAACCTCCCTCCCGCCGTCCAGGTACTCGGTCGCATGTTATCACCACCGTCAGGACCGTGACTCCAGTACTCTGGAGTGATTACTGTCTTGGCTTTCAGAAACATCACACGGGGTGGGGGGCACTTCTCAACCCGAAGGAACATCTCACCCATGGTGGGTTCCAAGCACTGTGAGGGAGACACTGGAGACGATGGGGCTGGTTCCCTGAGGAGCGGCCTGTCCTGCTTACTCCTGAGGACAGCCGTCTCTCTGGCTCGTTCCCAGCACAGCCCCGGGGGTGGTGAGGCCTCGTACCCTAGCTTAGGAGGGAGAGCCCGAGCATTGGAGACGCATTCAACATGCCCCCCCCTCCCCCCCCCCCCCCAGGACTTGCAGCCTCTGCTTCTCTTTCCCACATGTGGGGAGAGGTGAGTTTCTCCCTGGCCCTGAGGCACAGCCCTTCCTGTGGGAGCCTGCCCCACCTCAGCTGAGGTCGTGGGTCCAGCCCTTTCCCACCATGGAGAAAATAGCAAGAAAAACAGATGAGAACTGATACCCTAAGCTGCAGGTCTGCTGGGACCCGGCTCTGGAGGAGCCCCAGGAAAGCTTTAACCTTGGGGCTCTAGGCTGTCAGGAAGGGCGACGGGAGGAGGGCAGTGGGGACCTCCCCAGTGAGACGCTGCCTCCTCCCTCCCTCGCACCTGGGTCAGTGTCAAGACCACGTCTTCTCTCAGTGGGTCATCACCGCTCAGACGTGGGTCCTGGGCAGCCTCCCCCCACCCCCAGTCCTCAGGCTGGACGGCAGCACGAGGTCACCTTGTCCACCCCCTTCCCCCATCTCTAGGCACACCCTCTTTGAACAGGGTCTGGATGTTCCCATTTTAAAGCTCTTAGGAAAGGGACATTCCCAATCTGCCAACCATCCCATATCTAAGTGACTCACGATGAGCCTGGTGCCCGGGAGGAGCTGGTCTTGGAGTCAGGAGACCTGGGTCATTTGGGGCCATTTCTGGGCCCGGGGTTCCTAATCTGTGAGGTGGTAATCCCGTTAGGTGCTGCATCACGGGGTGGTTACAGGGATGACCTGAGGCACGAATGTAAAGGGCTTTGTGAACAATAAACGTGATGTAAATCATACGTGCGATGGGCGGGGATGGGGGGCAGGGCAGGGGCCTGGCCTCTACCCTTCCTTCTGCAGCTGCAGCCTGATTAGCTGCTGAGGCTCACCTGGAGACCTGCTCCCTGCCCCCACGACAGCCGTGGTAGGGTCCCTCAGCCCTGTCTCTCGGCAGACTGATCGCCGCTCCTACGGTCTTGGCCCATAGATTCACCCAGAGCTGCTTTCACTCTAGGATGTGTGGGGGGCACTTTGAGACCATCACTACCAAGCCCTGAGCCAGATATTTGCAGAGCTGTTAGGCTGTGTTGGCCGAGCATCTAGAGATGCTGGAGGTTTTCCAAGTGTGAGTGTTACTGGGGGTTTGGAGGGGTAGGGGCTCTGGCACAGGAATATCCGTGGGCTGTTCACAGACTTTGTCGCTTATGTTTTCTCATCTGGTCCTTCGTCTCTGAAGCGGGGTCCGCTGTCTCGCTGAGAGCTGATTGAGTAGTTTACAGGTTGATTTCCAGCGTGCGCACAAGGCCGGCCTTCCTGCTGGGGATCCGAGAGGCGGGAATGGGATTCTGTTCCAAGATAGCAAGAATTACGTGTAAGAAAACGGGAAGACACACACGTGAACTGGGTGCTTTTGAGGTACCTTGGTGCTTTTGGGGGCACAAGGACCCCATGATCACAAAGCAGAGGAGAGGCCCCAGTGAGGTCTTGGGCTTCTCTAGGTTCCTCCTTTCCCCACTGGAATGATGAGGAGATTGGAAAAGAGGTTCCGTGATCCCTTCTAGTTCTTGCTTCCTTGATAGGGATCTGGTTTCTCCCACCACCCCTGCCAAGGCATGCCCCTCCGCATCCCTGTAAAGCCTTTCTGGAGCAGTGGGGGCTTTGGTGGGTGGACAGATGTCCAGGGTGAGACATCTCACCCTGGTGAGATGTCCAGGGTAACATCATCGCTGTGAGGAAGAAAGCCCCTGATCCTGCAGCCCAGGACAGAAGAAACCAGAGTCGGAGGGGGGCTTTGCCTTCACCCCCATGGGTCTCAGTAGCGGCTTACAGGCTCAGGGGGCGCTCCCTCCAGAAGCCGCACTGGAAAATAACAACTGGGCAAGCAACCGTGCTGAGCCGACTTGGCGCAGAGCCGGGCAGGCCCCAGCCCCTGGCACTTGCTCCAGGGCAGCGTCTGGACAGAAGATGTGCTGGCCGCTGGCTGCACTGGCTTAAAGGGAAGTGCAGAGCTCCCAGGACATTGTGTCGTCCGCCTCTTCACCCAAAATGGGAGTGCAGAGAGGCTGGGATCTGTTCTTACTGCAGGCGCAGGGAGTAGTGCCGGCACAGAAGGCACCCGTGTTTGGTGCTCTGCTGAGCAAATGTACCCACGTGTGCGTGCGAGTGCCTGGGTGGCCGCAAAAGCTCCGTGAGCATTAGGTATCTTTCTGAGAATAATTCTTCCATTAGCTTGGGGACGCAGAGCTGGTGCATGAGCAGAAGCCCTCAGGAGATGAGCACTGTGCTGTGATTGGAAAGGGGAAGGGGAGGTAAGCTGGGAAGGGGAAATGGGGACACTGGTGGGGCAGGGCCGGAAGGAGGAAGCTTTGGAAGGCTTTTTGGCCTAAGTGGAAGAGGGCTTCACCAATGATCTGGCTGTTTTGGGTCAGTGTGGCTCAGGAAAGTGCTGCCACCTTCCATGGGGCCTTGGGCAGATCACGTGATACTTTCAACCTCCACTTAGTCCTCTGTCAAGGCTTTCCTACCTTGCAAGGACCGTCACACAGCAAGGATGAGGGAACCAATAGCGATGTGCCGGGCACATGTGACTGAGTTTTACTCTGGTGATTTTATTGGTACTTCTGCAGGAGGTCCTTTGTTATTTTCCGTGATGACTTTTATCTTGATTTTTTTGTTCTTCATGATTTTTACGTGAACCAGGTTTCCCATCTGCTGCAGGTGGGATGGCCAGGGTGTCGCAAGCTCTGGCCCAAATCGTGTAGATCCTGAAGTCTTGGACCTCTAGCCAAAGACCCGCAGCTCCCCACTCCCTGGGCCCTGGCTGGGAAGGGGCCCTCCTCTCAGAGACCCCTGGGGACTGGCGGAGCCTAAGGGGGAGGACTCACACTCTGCCCTCCCCTCCCCCAGGTACAAGACGGTGGTGACTCCCCGGAGGGCGGCGGTGGCCATCGCTGGCTGCTGGATTCTCTCCTTCGTGGTGGGCCTGACACCCATGTTCGGCTGGAACAGGCTGGGGGAGGTGGAGCGGGCCTGGGCGGCCAATGGCAGCGAGGGCGAGCCCGTGATTGAGTGCGAGTTTGAGAAGGTCATCAGCATGGAGTACATGGTCTACTTCAATTTCTTTGTCTGGGTGCTGCCCCCGCTGCTGCTCATGGTCCTCATCTACCTGGAGGTCTTCTACCTGATCCGCAAGCAGCTCAACAAGAAGGTGTCCGCCTCCTCTGGGGACCCGCAGAAGTACTACGGGAAGGAGCTGAAGATCGCCAAGTCGCTGGCCCTCATCCTCTTCCTCTTCGCCCTCAGCTGGCTGCCTCTGCACATTCTGAACTGCATCACCCTCTTTTGCCCTTCCTGCCGGAAGCCCAGCGTCCTCATCTACATCGCCATCTTCCTCACTCACGGCAACTCAGCCATGAACCCCATCGTCTACGCCTTCCGCATCCAGAAGTTCCGGGTCACCTTCCTTAAGATTTGGAATGACCATTTCCGCTGCCAGCCCTCACCCCCCATTGACGAGGACCCCCCAGAAGAGGGGCCCCATGACTAGACTCCACCTTCTGCTCCCACCTGGCTGCCCACATCGGGGGCATCAGCCCAGTCCCACCTCCCCACTGGTCCCACTCGTGAGCCTTCCTGGCAGGGCTGTGAGGTGTGGGTGCCCTGCAGCTTGGGTCCTGGAGAAGGTTTGGGAGGGCGGTCCGTGGGGAAGGAACCAGGGAACCTGAGGAGAGGAGGAAAGTGGCTTGAGCCTTCTCAGCCGTGTGGCCATCATGCGGGCAGCCCAGAGCTTCGGGCTGGATGGACCTGGGGAGCCTGAGGCTGCAAAGGGGCCATGTGGGCTGGGAGGGCAAGCTGGGGTTCCCATGGCAGTCGGGGGAGCCTGCTTGTCTCTGGTGGTAGTGAGGCAACCCTGGGAAGCCTAAGGAAAGGAGAGGATCCCCTCCAAGATGGAGGGAGGGAGAAGAACTGGACATCGTGGTCTTGCCTTCTCTTCTTGCTGTGGGAGAAGTTGGCAGAGCCACCGAGAGGCAGGAATCAAGGAGCCTCAGTGTCCGCCTCCCAGGACCCTGAGCTCCTAGCCATGCTGGGTGCCTGGGTGCCTGCTCTCCCTGCCCTGGAGAGCCCAGGTTTATACTTGGGAGAGGCAGAAAGAGCAGGTCCAGAAATCATTCCCAACTTTTGCTTTATTCTCCACGAGCCCTGGGACCCTGAACTGGGGTGGGGCTCCAAGCCCCTTGGAGCTCATGTGGAGTTGAAGTGCAGGCCTCACACAGCCACCAGGTGGCAGCACTGAGCCCTTGCTCTGGCCCGGGCTTCCCAAGAAGGTATCTGGGCGGTAACTACCTGTCCACTGGGCCCTGATGATGGCCTGGACTCTCTTAAGTGACACCCATCTCTGCTGTTTCTGGGCCAGATGGAGAGGAGAGCCCCAGACATGACAACACGAAGGAGCATTAAGCCTGCTTGCGGAGGGGGTGGACAAGGGAAAGTGCTGGGGTGACTTGTACCAGGCTGGAACAGGCCAGGGGAGACCACACCGCTGAGGGGGAGGCAGAAGGAGCTTGCTGGCATTTAAATGTCCCCAGCATCCCTGGCACTGAGCACAGTTTTCAGGGGCTTTGGGGCTCTGTGGCACGGTGTAGGCTTTAGAGCATCTAGGGAAGTGTCCACCCTCTGCCAAGCTGGGGGGCGGGGCTTGTACAAAGGGGAGGGGGCGGGTTCTGCGCGTGATTCCAGGCCCCGCCCGTTCTTGGAGGTGGGATGTTTCCTGGGAGGGCCTCCTGACTAATAAAGACTGTGAAACTTGATTGACAGCATGCCCCTGGATACCCACCCCCACCACCCTCTGAGGGCAGCAGAAGACCTCAGCAGAGGAGAGCAGTGGTGGCATGGGGGAGAAGCACAGACCCGACAGAAGCCGGGGGGTGGGGGGCGGGGGGTGAGGGGCGGGGAGGGGAGATATGGAGGCATTCAGAACAAGGAAGTTTCCAGAGAAGAGTGTGTCTCTTCCTATAGCTATGCTCTCGGCATAGCAAACCCTGAATGTGAAAGCCAGATGCTAAAAAATCTCCTGTCTGGAAACCTGGAAACCCCCCTTACATCCTGAGTCCCCTCCCACTGGCACCTTCCTCCTGGTGTCATATGTGGAGACCTCCTCGTGATGACGCGCTCCACCCCCCTCGCTGTGACACAACCCCTCCTCCATCACAACGATGCTCACCATCAGAGGCCCCGGCACGGGAACACATCACACACTTTTATTTGAGCGGTTCTCACCCAGAATGCACCGCTCTGCAGGGGCACTCCAATCTTTGCATCTCCAGGCCTCCTTGTGCCCAGGAAGCCTGGCCTGGGGCCTGCCAGGCCTACTCCTGGCTCCTGGGCTCCAGCCTCTGGGGGAGGGAGACTAGGTAGGTACCAAGGAGCAAAGCCCTCAGCCGTCACAATGGAAATGGGGCTCTGGGGCATCTGTGGAGCTTGATTCTGAGTCTTGTGGGCCCGACCCCCCAGGTCTGCAGCACCTGGCAGAGAACATGCTTCATGAGCCCAGGGTTTGACAGAGCTGGGCTCTACCTGTCCTGCTGAAGCAGTGAGACGGGGCAGAGGGACACAGAGGCCCTCTTTCCTTCCCAGGCTTCCCGCCACAAGGGCCCAATGCCCAGCGCTTAGCTCTGCCCCTGCAGCTTTGGGATCCTCCCCTACTTGTCTGGAGCCTCAGAACCATCTGGGAGGGAAGGTGGGACACAGGTTGTTGTCCCCTCTTTGCTGAAAAGGAAACAGGCCCAACAGAATGCCCTAGACTAGACCCCTGTCCTATGTGCACATTGCCAGGGACAGCAGAGTTGTCCGCAGAAGGGACTGCCACCTTCCCCGTCCCCTCCACCCCCAGCTCTGACTGTGTCCAGAGGCCCCGGGCCCAGCCATTTACCATCCTCCTCGCCGCAGCCTCCTGTCGCTCTTCAGTGTGTGGCTGACGCTGGAAAAAATGCCACAGTCAGAGTGGGGGAGGGGCGTGTCTGCAGGGGACCCGAGTTGGAGGTAGTGGGACGAGAGGGGCTCAAGGCTATATGTCTTCACCCCAGACAATCGATCAGTTTGGGTGACAGACTCTGCTACCTCCGTTCCCTACACTGGGCTGTCCTCCCACTTGGAAAATCCTTCCACTAGCCGGACCTCTCCATCTTTACTAGCCCTCTGTCTTGCCTTGAGTTCCAGCACCCAGCCTCATCTAGCCCAGCAGAAGAGGTGGCTTCTATGAAGGGACGGTCCCTAGCGAAGGACGTTCCTCATACCTTTCCCTTTGACCTCCAGCCGGCAGTCCACAGATGCCTCCCCTAACACGTTGACAGCCTTGCAGGTGTAGACCCCAGAATCAAAGGGGCTGGGCTTCCGGATCTCCAGCGTGCAGACGCCTTGCTCAGAGAGGGCGCGGTATTTGGGGTCACCCTGGATGTTCATCTTGTTTTTCATCCAGATGATCTTGGGCTAGGGGGGCATGGTCAGAGGAGAGCTGAGGAGGTTGTGGGCTGGAATGGGCTTTGAAGTTGCTGCCTGGGAAGATTCCCCATCCCCCCTGCCCCCACCCGTCCAGGACACAGTGGGGCTTCAGCCCTAACCTTGGGTGATGCTCGGACGCTGCAGAAGAGCTGAGTGCTGTAGCCGGGGGTGGAGGTGTGGTCAGCCAGGGGCTGGGTAAATGAGGGGGCTTCGGAGAAGTCTCGCTCCACAAACCCCTTAGGTTTGGCAACAATATCTGGGTTCAGGGGATAAAAGGGGGCAAATTTGAGATTCCAGGAGTAGACCTCTAGAACTGACTTCATCCATTTTCCTAAAATAATCACTGTAGCTTACATTTAGATGTCTTATTTAATCTACATCGCGTCCCTCTGCAAGAGCGAGTTTGTTATTACTACTTGACAGATGGGAAACTAAGGCCCTTCATGGATGAGTGGCTTGCCCAATATCACTTCGGCAATTTGGGGCTTAAAGGGTAGACAATCACGTGATGACCATGGCTCTCTGGGCAGAGAGCTGGTGGTTTGGAGGATGATCTTAGCATCAATGAGGGCAGGAGACAAGCCATTTCATTGTTGCTGTGGGGTACAAGAGCTCCACAGCAGGACCCCAGGCTCTCAGGAAGCCAGGCGTGGCCAGTGTGTGGGAATTTAGAGACAAAAGGCCTCAAAGAGGCAGAGGAATGCCGGCACCGTGCCTGGGTGGGTCAGGGAGAAGACAGAGAGGGCAACGGGCAGGAAGACTGGGTAGATGAGATGCTCTTGGCTGAGGCTGAGGACTTGTAACCGAGAGACACACCCTTCATTTCTGTTCGTCTTTGGAGACCTGACTGGTTTTCCTTTTTTAAACGAAAATGTCTTCCTAGCTCTGTGCAGCACACGCTGGTGTTAAAAATTTGCGTGTGCTTTCCCGAGCCCACACAGACTCCGCGGTAGGAGGAGAGGAGGCCCGGAGATCGCAGGGTGACAGGGAACAAGGGTTTGACATTTCATATTTGACGCAAGCATGTCACAGGGCTGTGTGGACACAGTAAATACCCCTATCTCTCTTGTCCATCTCTGTGGTGTTATATGAGGGTCAGAAGGCTTGTGTTTGAGCCAATTCACCAGACTCTACCTCCCCACGCATCCTGCCCCCCAGAGTAGTTCCCTTGGGACACCATGCGTGAGCCCCTGTGACCCCTGTGACGTTGGCAGCCACCAGCAACTTTGGAATAAGCGCGAAGCCTCCCGGTAGGCACGTCTCCTTCCCGTGGGTTTGCTCTGATGTGTTTGTTAAAATCAGTCCCACCCTCGTGGGAACGGGTGAGCATGTGCATTGCTGCGGAGCCGGGGCGCAGAGGGCAGAGGACACTCTGGCGAGCCACACCCACGAGAAGCCCACCAGGAGGGGTGCTGATGCCCCAGGACAGGCCGAGCCCAGCTGGGGACAGACAGAGGGGGTGCATCAGGCGGGCCTGACTTGGTTTTGGTCCCAGGCCCAGACCCACCTGCCTTCTGGATGCGGGCTAGCTCCTTGGTGGTCGCGGCCGAGGCGCTGAGCCCGCACTGGTTCTCGGAGAAGACCCGAAAGGAGTAGGCGTTTCCCACGATGAGGTCAGAGATGGTGCAGGTGGTCGGGTGGTAGCGCTCCAGCACCGTGAACCATTGCTGCGGGGACCCTGGCCCGGTCATCCTCTCCTCTGACTCCTGCCCTTCCCCTCCCAGCTCTCCCTGCAGCCCCTTCCTCAGAGGGGTTCATTCCATGCCTTATCCCAAGGGAGCTGAGCCATCCAGCTTTGGGAGAAGGGGTCCCTGGAGCACTCAGATGACCTCACTGGGGTCCTCGGAGAGTTCTAGATTCTTACTGCTCCAAGTGTGGTCTGAGGACCTGCTAAGTCAGAATCACCTGGGAACTCCTGGGAGGTGCGAGATCTCAGCGCCCGCCCCAGACCTACCAAGTTAATCGGCATTTTAGCAAGATTCCCAGATGACTCATTGGCACATTACATTTCCAGAGGCACTGCTCTAGATCTGGAAGGGCCTCCCAGAGCCCCCCTTGCAGTCTTCAGGAGGCAACTGAGGCCCATAGAGGAAAGTGATCTTGCTAAAAAGCCATAAGAGGAGTCAGGTTAAAGGTAGTTAGACTAGAACTTGGTCCCTGGACTCTTGGAGGGCTGGACCTTCCTGGCCACCTTGGCCACTTCCCCCAGCCCCGCCCCACTCTGCTCCAGCAGGCCTCACCCCTGTCTTTTTGTCTGCCTTCTGCACGGTATAGCCCAGGAGCTCTGTGTTGCCTGTGTCCTGGGGCGGTGTCCACTCAAGGGCAGCGTTGCAGCCCCAGACATCCAGGAGCCGGATGCTGTTGGGGGGTCCAGGTTTCTCTGCAGGACCAGAGTGCGAAGGCGGGATGAGGGGCAAGTCTGGGCTTGCTGCAAATTCCCCACACCCACGATCTGGCTCCTGTCACACTCCCTGGCCTGATCCCGTCAGCCATCAGCTCTGGGGTAGGAGGTGGGGTCTCTGGGTCCCATGCAAGGCAGCCCTGCCTCCCCTGGTCTCATACCAATCACCAGGATATTGATGGCTGCCTTGGCCTCCAGGCCTTCCAGACGCACGGTGAGCTCGTAGCAGCCCGAGTCGGAGCGCTGGGCCGAGCGGATGAAGAGGATGGAGTCCTGGTCCCCAGTGCGCACATTCACCCGCTGGCTATCCAGGGCGTGGCCATTATGGGTCCAGGAGGCTTGAGGCTTGGGACTCCCCTAGGAGGGAGGAGCTCTCAGGTAAGGAGATGCCAGCATCCCCTTGCCCACTCAAGTCCGGGGACCTCCGGAGCTGGCCCCATCAGCCCTTCCCAGGAGACGCAGGTGCTGCTCACAGCCTCCCTCTCCAGGGGTCCAGCCAGCCCTAGGACCACCCACCCCATCCACAGGCTGGAGAGTCACAACTGAGTCACGTGTACAATGGAGGGAGGGTGAAGCTCCCTTGGTGGGTCCATGAGGACCGACCCCCATGAGGATCCTGACATTTCTCCCTCTGACATGCCTCAAGTAGGGACCCTGAGTTCCATCCAGGCTGTTATCCTGGGCAGGGGCCACACTTACCTGGAAAGGGATTTGCAGGTTGACTGGCTCTCCCACCTGGCGGATGTAGGTCTGACGAAGGTGGCGGGGGACTCGGATCTTGGGGGCCTCTGCATCAAAGGGAGACAACGTGGGGTTTAGGACAACGTGGGGTTGCTGATTGGAGGCTGCCATGGTAGGTGTAGGAAGCAAGTGGTGAGGGTTGCTGGCGGGGCGGGGGGCTGGATCCTAGGTGTGTTCTGGGGCTGCCTGCTTGTGGGAAAGACAAAGCTCACTAATGGAGATCCCGGGGCCCAAATCCCCCGAGGCCCTTGGGGAGCTGAGAGCTGAGAGCTTCCAGGAGGGCAGGGCCCCCATGGTGTGAACTAGTAAGCATCCGGGGCACTCCCTTGGCGCCCTGAGCCTGCCAGGCTGGGATTTACTCTGCAGCCCAGGCATTCCTGGGCTCCAGATGGGTCCTGGCGGGCTCCTTGGCTCCCCCTAGTGGGGAGCAGGTGCTGCACCTGCTGGCCTGGGTTCTGCGTTCTGTTGCGGGGAAAGGTGGCCATGCCTTCTTTCTCCTAATCCAGCCCCCTCCATTCCACAGCAGCCCAGAACCTCCAGGGAAGCTCCTAGGAGATCCATTTGCCCATTTCTCTGTCAGGGGCCATATGGGAGGATTAGGATCTTTTCCCTTCTTAAATGAGGTTGGAGCACTTGTACCCCCTTCACCTCTGCCACCCCTCCCACTACCTTTCAGGCTCACAGTTGGGAAGTCCTGCCTGAAATCTCACTTCAGTCCCATGCTAGGGCGGGGAGCCACCTTCCTGACTAATCAGATGCAAACACCAAAGCCCCTGGGCCTTCCAAGGGAGGCTGCAGCCGCCATCGTCCCCCCCGGGGTGGGGACAGGAGCAGGAGCGGAGGGGGCTGCTCAGCGGCAAACAGGTGGCAGCAGTTGGTCAGTGGCACACAGGCGGGAGGGGAGGAGGCGGTGAGAAGGAACACTGTGTCTCCAAGGATTAGCTGTGCAGGCACTTGGCCCTGGGAGTAAGGAGTGGAGTGCTCCAGTGGCAGCTGCAGGGGGCCAGGAATGCTTGGCAGCTCCAGGTGGCTAAGAAGGGACAGCTGAGCAGCTGAGGATTCTGGACAAGGTCCCCACCCTGCCCTGCCTGTGAGGAGGGCCTGGCTGGTCTCCGTTTGTTCATGGCCTCCTTCCCCCCGCCTTCTCTCCAGGAAATCCCCTTCTCTCCTGCCAGAGGAATTTTAATGGAGTCGTGGGTGCTGAGTCTGGCTGGCTCCCTCCAGGTTGGGCCTTGGAGTAGAGGGCCCTGACCTCCATACCCTCTCAGAGTCTGATCTCCTGGCGTAGTTCCAGCACCTTCCCGGTCAGGAGGGCTTCCTGGCACCTCCAGGCCAGAGCCCACCTGTCCATACAGTGGCTGCTCGCCCAGACTCAAAGGATGGGAGGGTTGCAGAGAAGACTCCCCGATACTTGGTGACACAGGAATCGTCCCGTGTAGGAGGCAGGTTCTGGAATTGCTGCTAATAGACTCAATGACCTCAAAGGAGTGCTTGGGTCCCTTGGGACCTGCTTGGCTTGGAGGGACAAGCTGTCACAGTCTATGATTCTAATCTCCCTGACCCCATGCTTCCCACATCTCTTGGGCCCTGAAGTTGAGAAGTATTTCCTTGAATCCAAATGTGACCTCTCCTGTGGCTCTGAAGCCCACTCTTTTTGGAGGCTTTGTCCCAAACTCTGGGGGCCAGAGGGTGCAGGGGAACAAGAAGGAAGGTACAGAAGGCCTCAGGCCACCTGCTGGCCTGTATCTCTCTTCACCCTGGGCCCTGGGCTGTCCCCAGAGACCTCAGATCAGCCTAAATGACTCACTGCCATTAACAGACTGAAACCCGATCGGCTCCGGGAAGGGAGCAAGGGTAGGCTTGAGGCTAATGCACCCTGCAAATAGAACTCTTAGCAAAGGGACAGCAGCTGGCCTCCAAGGTCCCCGCACACTGTTGCCCTCTGGGGATGGAGACCACTTCACAGGCGTGCAGGCTCTTGTCCTTCTCCCACTAGAGACGTGGTGGGATAAGAAGCAAGCAAAGACTTCTCTCTGCTCCAAAACCTTTCAGAAGATCTGGAACCCAGTCCATAGGACACGAGCAGAAAAGGGGCAAAAAATGAGCTTCCCTGGTCGCTGAAGGGATTCCGATTAGATAGGAGGAAGAACAGAATGGCTCTTAGCATTGGGACGCTGAGGCAGGTGACCTGGGGAGCTTGAACTTTCATTTCTGGGGTTCTGGGAGCCCCTCTCAAAATGTTTGGGGGCTGGGCCGCTCAGGGAAATGGCCTCTTTGACCTCCAGAGGCTTGCTACTAAGGAACTTGGAACTTTCTTAAGGCAAAATGGTGATAGCATGTGGCTTGTGCACGGGAGAGTGGGATGGGGGAAGATGACTGTCCTGTTTCCTCTGTGCCTTAGCCTCAAGTTTCCCTACCTATCACGTAAGGTGCCTGGGAAGGGCTGGGGAGCAGGAGGTGAAAGGATGGGCTTTACCGATGATCTTCTGGATGTGGACAGGCTGTTCTAGCACAGCTGGCGGGCCAGTCCCCGCAGAGCTCACCGCAGACACACGCAAGAAGAACTTGTCCCCTAGAGCCAGGTTCCGCACGGTCAGCTGGGTCACCATCAGGGGCCGGGCGTTCACGGGCACCCACTCTGAGGCTGGAGAAATGGACAGCAGGCAAGGCCCCGGCTTCATGACCACGGGCATCCGTCTCAGTGGGGCTTTTCTCCTCCCTGGTGATCTGGGGCAGCTGACCTCCCTCCCTGGGCCTTACTTCCCCCTTGCTCTCCTTCCCTGACTTCTTGTCAAACGGTATCAAAGATACCTGGTGTGAGAACCCTGGAACGGTGCTCAGAGAAGGTATCGCTAGAGTCTGGAGAGGGTTGGACACATTTGCCAAGTCACACAGCAAGATAACAGCAAAGGCGTAAGCCAGGCTGAACTTGGCCACCATGGAGGTGAACAGGACAGTGACAACAGGAACTGGGCCACTGCCCTGGTTCCCTGTTCCTCTTCACTGTCTTCTCCTTTAAGTCTCCCCACTCCCAGCTTCTCTGTTCTCCCCTCCTACTTGCCCTCGCAAGCAGGCTCCCCCAGGATTCAGCATCTCCTTCACTTCTCATCAGGGCAGCACCCCAGCGGCCCTGACCCTTCTTTCCCTGTTACTCACTCAGAGGCTCCCTGGAGCTGGTGGATGCGGGTGGGGGTCTCCTGGGGGGTGTCATTTGGACACAGGGGGGTGTCATTTGGAAACCCCCCTGCCTCAGAGATCCATGGGGTGAGCAAGAAGCTGTGGGTGAGCGGGTTGAGGGGACCACTTGCACTTTCTCCTTCGGTATGTCCCCCCCAGACTGGCCCAGCTGCAGGGACTGGCGCTTGTCGTCAAGACACGAGCAAGCCCACCTCCCCTGGGGGTACACAGGGCTTAGCCCAGAGCTCACCTCCTTCTCGGCAGAGCTCCAGCACGTAGCCCTGGAGCCCCAGTCTCCCTAGGCTCTCCGGTGGCTCCCAGCTCACGGTCACCGAGCTGTCGTTCACATCCTCCAAGGCCAGCAGCAGCGGGGCGCTGGGGACGTCTGAGGGAGAAGTAGGGGGAGATGAGGAGGTCTGTGGTGGAGACCTCTCCCCCGCCGCGCTCCCTGCCACGCCTGCTTCCCTCCTCCACCTGGCCCGCCTCTTGTCACCTTCACTTGGAGGTGCAGGTTTAGTGGCTTGGGGGGCCGTGGGGACCGTGGGGGCTGCAGGGGCCGGGGCCTGAGAAGCAGGCTCTGGTAGCGGCGTGGGAGCCCGTTCTTCCCCGGCAGACTCCAACGCTGCCACTTCTCCAGCGGGGTCTGTGGTGGGCGCCTTGGCCGGCTTAGAGGCAGACTCCTCCGGACCACAGTCGGGGGCCTCCGAGGTGGCTTTCTCAGTCATTGTGGGGCTGGCTGGTGGTGGTCAGGCTGGAGTGTGCCGGGGTCAGTGGGGGAGGAGCTGGGCCTCCGGGGTGCCAGGACACCGAGGTCCAGGCTTATATAGCCAGGGCAGCCCCACCCCCAGCCAAATGATGATTCCCAGCTGTGGGGTCAGGTCAGGCAGGGGGACCGGGGGGCAGGGAGATGCCTCGGCCAGGAATAGCTCTGGGGGAGGAACGCAGGGTCCCTTGATGAGCACAGTAGCTCATCTATCACTCCGACTGGATCTCAGCAGCCAGGGTGTTGGTGCCCGGAGGGGAGGACGGCCCAGATGGGTGAGAAGGGGCATTGCCGAGAGCCAGTGCCAGGGGTTAGGACAAGAGCTTCCATCTGGAGAAGGAACCCAGATCACGCTTTTTGTGTTTGGTCTCTGTGGAGCCTCTTGTCCCCAGGGCTTCTCCGCCTGGGTGCTGGGACCCAGACAGCCTGAAACAGTCTTCCCTGGGGAGCGCTCCCAGCTTTGTTTCTGGGATCCCACACTCCCCTCGGCCTCCCATGCCCTGGACACTCTCCCATGTGCTGTGTGGGGTTGAGGGTTCTAGAGCAGGAGGGGATTGCGATATCCAAGGTGGGTTGGAGGAAGGTCTTCCAGCAATGGGACCCCAGGAAGGGGACCTAAGACCCCCGGTTACTGATTTTGCTGGAGAGGCTGGAGAGGACTCAGTCTCCCCAATCCCTGTGACAACCCCCTCGCCCTTGGCAACGAGATAAAGTCATGAGGCAGAGCTGGAAGGGACCCCAGAGGAAGACAGCACTCTGAAAGTTCTAGGCTCTTCGAAGCGGGGGCGGGGGGTGTACAGGAGGTGTTATGAGGCAAGTACAAACAAATGTCTACTCATGGATTCATTCACCCAGTAAAACGTTCTGACTGGTAATCATTTAACAAGCTGGAAAATACCACGTTTCAGGGAGGAGGGGAGGCGATGGGAACAGTCATTGCGGGTGGGAGCAGCAGTCCAAGACACCCCTTTGGAGAAAGGGTGATGGGATCTGGTAAAAATGGGAAATGGGCGTATCTGCGACCCAGCAGTGACAGCCCTGGAAAGTGTCACCCGTGCCCAGGAGACACGCATGCGAATGCACGCAGCAGTGTTATTCGTAATAGCCCACACCTAGGGAAAGCAGCTGGCCCTCCACAGCTCCCCGTGACCACGTGCCCACCACCTATAATCCAAACTACGGGACGGGACGAGCCAACTGCAGCCCCCGGCGACCTAACGGATCTAACAGTTTCGCGGTGCACAAAAATTCTTAAATTCAAACGCAGGCAACCCCAGGCTCTCTTCTTCCAGAGGTTTCTGTAGGTGGTGAGATGCCGAAGGGAGGCAGGGGAGGTCAGGAGTGGCAGCCTCCAGGCGGAGGACAGGGTGTCTGTGCTGGTGGGGTTTTGGGGGACACTACTAAGGTTTCACTTCTTTTCCTGGGGTGGGGGTTTACACAGGTTTTCACCAGTTAGTAATTCTTTTTCTTTTCTTTTATTTTTTTTTTAAGATTTTATTTGTTTATTTGACAAAGAGAGATATCACAAGTAGGCAGAGAGGCAGGCAGAGACAGAGGGGGAAGCAGGCTCCCCGCTGAGCAGGGAGCCCGTTGTGGGGCTCCATCCTAGGACCCTGCAATCATGACCTGAGTCAAAGGCAGAGGCTTTAACCTACCGAGTCACCCAGGCACCCCGCACCAGTTAGTAATTCTTTAAATGAAACAAATCCATTCTGTGCCCTCTTTAGCATGTATCATACATCCTGACATTTAAAAGTAAATACACATGTCATTTATTCACGGCCCTTGGCCACACGCAGCCTCTCCCCCTTCCCTAGGCCTGGCCACACAGGAGCATGGCTGCCTTTCACGGCTGGCTGTCCTCGCTGTGGAGTGGCAGTGGAGGGCCTGGGTCCGGCCCTGCCTGGGTGCCCGCGCCCTCTGCCAGGTGACTCAGTGTCCTGCCAGGCAGGAGGTGGGCCCTGGAGACCGGATCCCCATCCCTGGCCTCTGACTCCGCAGCTATAAGTGAATGTGACTAACTCTGCCGGACCCTGAGTCAGCCCTGCAGAGCTTGTCCCAGGCTGGGGGAAGGGCGGCTCTAGGGAGGAGGAGGGGTGTTGGCTGTCCTGGAGGGCTCGTAGCCCCGGGGGTTTTGAAGACCCTGGTGTGGTGGGATGGGCAAAGAGCGGAGATTGGGGAATTCCTGGCCCCACTGGTCTGTGATGAAATGCCAGGTACCACTCTTGAGTCTCTGGCCAAGTTCTTGCTTTCATTGCCTTTAGCAGGGCTGTGACCTTGGGATCAGCTGCATCTGTTCAGCTCCAGCTGGTTCAGATTTCAGGGTGGCCAATAGGTACTTCCTTCCCTACCCCTCAAACTAGTGTCACAGACCACTAGGCCAAGTCACAGATGGTTGGAACATAAGGGAATCCGCACATAAATTCTCTTTGATTTTGGAGTGTGCCTCTGGACTCTGGACACAAGGCAGGCCTGGGTCCCTGGGAACTCTCTAGCAACCAGATGAGAGCATTTCTACATCATAAAGGCTGGAAGATCTGTCGGTCTTCTGAGCCCATCCGGTCTCAGCTGTATTCCCGGCCCACTTGCCTGCCACCTCATGTCCCCAGGCAGCCTGAGCACAGCAGCCTCATCCCTGCTTGGGTTGAGGACCGAGTATGTCCCTTGGGAAACAGAGGGTAGAGCGCTAGGACATCTGACTTATTTCAGCCCAGCCATGGAAGGGGCTCCTTCAGGTCATGAATCACCTACCGGTCTCTGGGAGTCTCTGAGGAACCTGGACGGCCATGTCTCAAGCCCCCTGCGGAGGCTCTGGGCCTGGGCTGGAGGGAGGGTGCAGGAGGACACTGGGGTCTCCTTCTAGCCCTGAACGGCCAGGGTCAGGGCTCTTTAGCCGGGCCCTGGGTTGGCTCCCTACCCCTCCCAGGAGCTCAGAGGAGATGAAGGGTTAGATTGTGGCTTCCTTCCTCCTACCTGCTGGCCTTCAGGAAATAGAAAAGTTTCTTTCAATGAGGAACTACGTCAAGAGGTCTGGACTACCGTAATATCTGGAAGGCCGTGGTCCACGGCGGATGGATCTGAGGAGGCTGGCCTCCTTGTGGGGACTCTCTGGGGCCCAGCAGAAGCCAGGGTAGCGTCACCGTCTGCACCTTCTACAAGCTCCAAACCCCCAGGCCCAAGAGAAGAATCCAGAAGAGACGAGGGAGGGGAGCCCAGAGGGTCCCATGGGGCCATAAAGAGCCCGAAGCAAAAGCGCCAACATGTGGGGAGCCCTGGGTTCTGGAGCTTTATTGAGCAGCAGCTGCAGAATTAGCAAAGGGAAGCGGGAGGGGCCACGGGATCCCATTGCTGGGTGCAGGCTTCAAGTGGGGCTTTGTGGAGGGGGTAAGTAGTGTGGTGGCTGCTTCGTGAGAGATGTTTGGCTGCTCGTGGTGGCCAAAGTGCCCTTTGGCAAGGAGGCCTGGGGGTAAGGGAGTCTAAGAAATCTCCTTGTGTGGGGCTGGGGTCATGGGACATTTTCACAAGTCAGCAGGCATGTGCTGACCCCATGTCTTACAGTGTGCTGGTCCCCGGGCCTTAGCCGCCCACGGCCCCACCTCTACCTGCTGGTCCCCTGGAGGGGAGCTCAGACGGCTCCTCTGTGGCCGTCCGCGTGGGGTCCAAGGGAGGGAGACTGAGGCTCAGTCAGGCACTCCGCAGGGTGGGCTATGAGGCTCTGGGCCAGCAGGGATGCCCCCTAACCCCACGGTATGCAAGACAGAGGTTAAGCTGCGATGAGCGCGTCCTTGATGGCGCTGGTGAGAGGGAAGTGCACGCCTGTGCTGCAGAAGGCACCCCGGAAGTCATCCAAGTCCAGAGCCCACACCATGGCGCCGGCCAGCTGCCTGTTTCTCAGGTACTGCACCTGGCAGGGAAGACCCAGAGGGGGCAGAGCTGGCTTCCCGGGGCCAGAGTGTGCATGGGGCGAACATGCTGCCTGGGCCCCTGCCTACGGGAGGGAACAGCAGGCACCCGAGACCTGAGCCACCCCTCCCCCATGACCCAGCATGGGGCGCCCTCGGGTGCAGGGGACCTGACTCTGGCTGCTCAGAGTAGGCGCTCCCTCTCCCTCTTCATCCTGGGACATGGCCTTGAGAACTTACCTTCTTTTGGACGTTCTCTTTGTCATCGTACCCCACCCACTGGTTGCCCTTGGTGGCATAGGGGACCTGCTGGTCATTGAGTCTGTGGACCGTGGCTTGGTGGAGGAAGTCACAGATCTGAGCAGAGAACAGGGCAGGGTGGCGTGGAGAGCTGGGTGAGATGGTGCAGGTCACCAGGGAGAGGCCAGTCCCCAAACCTCTTTCAACCCCTTGCTTCACACCACCCCCCACCCCGCTCAGGGCATCCCTCTAGCCCCCAGACCCCAATCCTCATGCTAATGTATGTAAACCAGATACAAATGTCCCAGGGTTCTGGGGGTGCCGTAGCCAGAGAGCATGAAGGGGACTCTGGTTTGCCTCTGGCATCTTAAACAGGGATGTGGGAAATGAGGGGCTGACATAAGGACTGGACCGAAGCGATACGGAGAGGCAGAGGCAAGAGTCCAAAAAGAACCTCCCTTGGGCTATTGCTCTTTCCTGGGCTGGCAGGAAAATCTCAGCTAGGGCCGGAGGGGTGTCTGGGAGCTTGGCGGTGCAGAACGGGTGTGCCAGCAGGAGGCTTAGTAGCAAGAGGCCTGACTTTCCCCCTCCCTCCTCCTCAGGGTGCTAGGTTCCCCAGAATATATGTTTTTATTCCCAAAGAAACAAAAGGGGGTGGCGTGGGAGGCTCCCCCTCAGGTCCTCTCCCTAGCTCATACCTCATAGTAGGCCAGGGTCCCTTCCTCCTTGGTGAAGAGGCCTGGCAATCCGGGCCCTGAGATTGGGGCTCCCACACCGGAATTGGAGGAGGCCAGGGTGAAGCTCCTTCCAAAGGTCGGGATGCCCATCACCAGCTTGTCCGCTGGGGCCCCCCGCCTCAACATGTAGCCCACCGCATAGTCCTGGGAGGGGAGGGGAGAGCTGTCAGCGGGGCTGCGGGGCAAGACCCGACAGTTCCCACTGCCTGGACAGGTGGAGCTCCAGGGGTGCCTGGCATCTAAGACTCGCTTCCTTCTGGGAGCTGATAATTGCAGTCAAAAATGCATTTTGTAGCTGCATTCTCGAAAAAACAGTCTTAGGTACAGGAAGTGATTATTACTATTGGCAGCCAATCAGGTGGTTGGCTTAGGTTACACACCAAGTGCAAGGCTGGTCTAGACCAGACTCCTGCCTCTTCCCTTCTGCCGCCATGGAGCACTTGCAGATTTTGGGCCTCAGTTTCCTCCTCTGCGGAGTGGGCCCCATAAGCCCTCCTTGAGGGGCAAAGGGTTGGTGTGTGAGCACTGGCAGGTGGCGGGTCTCTGTGGCCCCCCTCCTGGCCAGCCAGCCTCTCCTTCCAGACACTCACAGCGTTGTTGAATCTGTCGGAGCTCGCATCCATCTGGCCTCAGAACAGGGGGCTGTGATGGCCTGTGGTCTGACGCCAGGCTCCGTGAAAGTCATAGGTCATGAGGCTGATGAAGTCCAGGTGTCTGGAGAAGAGAGGTCAGAGGGGGAGGCAGGGAATTAGAACGGCTCTTGGCCTCACATCCATCACCCCAGCATGAGGGGAGAAGGGCAGGCAGGCGACCCCGAGGCAGGCCCCATAGAGCCCTGCGGTCCACTGTCCGGGCTGCCTGGCCTCTTCTGCCGTGCCATGCCCTGCTGGATTTCCTAAAATCTGTGTCTTCGAGTCCACTGAGACATCAGCCCCGTGAGGCTGTGAACTGCTCATCTCCACGTGCGGGAGAGGGCTGGGAGAGGAGGAGCTGTGGACAAGGGAGGGTCGCCTGCGTGTGTGAAGGCACCTGGAGGCATCTAGCAATGCAAAGTGTTATTGCTGCTTCGCTGTGTCTCCAGTGACTAGCGGGGTGGTGGGGCGGGGGGGATGGGGGCATGCCTGGAGCAGAGGAAATGCCGCGAGGTGGCTGGCTGCTTTGTATATCATTTCCTACTTCCTTTTCCACAAATGCATTCAGAGAAACTCTCTCAACGCATTAACACAATATCCCATATGAAAACGGAAGGACAGGGGTGCCTGGGTGGCTCAGTGGGTTAAAGCCTCTGCTTTCGGCTCAGGTCATGATCCCAGCGTCCTGGGATTGAGCCCCACATGGAACTCTCTGCTCGGTGGGGAGCCTGCTTCCCTTCTTCTCTCTCTGTCTGCCTCTCTGCCAACTTGTGATCTCTCTCTGTCAAATAAATAAATAAAATCTTAAAAAAAAAAAAAGAAAATGGAAGGACAGGGATTATAGTGCCCCATTTGACAAACGGAGAGACTGAGGCATGGAGTGCAGAAGGGACTTGCTCAAGGCCACACACCCAGTTTTTGGAAGAAAGGGGCTAGAAACCCAGTCTTGTGACTCCACATGGAGTGCTAGGGCAGGGTGGGGCGGGAGACTCACTGGGATATCTGGGCGATGTCGTAGCCACTGTCGATGGTCACCTTCCCCGCGGACACAGCGGCACTGAGCAGCAGCTGCTGCTTTGTTTCCTCCTGGGCTTCCCTCGCGAACTCAGCCTTCATTTCCTGGTTGGGAGAGAGGCAGGTGAGGGACAGGGGCCCCGGCTGTGTGCGAGGGAGCCTTGTGACAGAGGCCGAGGTCTCGGAGCATGTCATTGATCTTCCCTATCTGTGGGAACCCCCACCCTGACTGGGTTTTAGGGGGAATGCTAGAGCGGCCAGTGGGTGGTCCCACTTCGGGCTAACCCACCCTTCTCCTAAAAAACTGCTTGGACCGGTCATGTCCCCACACCCCACACATACCCATCAGTATTCAATTGCTCCCTGTCCCGGGAGGGACCATGAGGACTGATGGTGGTCCTCATTGGCCCACAGATCGTGTTGGAAAAGATTTGTTTTTCAGTCTGTGTTTTGTTCATGCCAGTACAGGAGACCACAAAATTTAAGTGGTCTTTAAATTTATATCCAGTTGTCTTTAAAATTAAAATGCTGTTGGTGCTGTGGACAATTCGTTTAGATAGTCCCTCTGCGCCTGCGGTCATGGAGATGCTTGGGCTGCCCTTATCCTAGGGGGCCACGTGTCCCCAAGGCTGTGCGTGCTGGTGAGTGGCATCTGTTTGGAACCAAACAGTGGGTAATGCCGCTCCCCCGCTAGGTGGGCGCTCTGCTGAGTGACCTTCTGCCTCCAAGGACCCCACCGCACCTCCCACCACGGTCACAAGACAAGCCAGTTTGGCCTTCCCCCATGGGTCCCCAGACTCTGCAGCCTGGAGGCCTCAGCACCCCCCTCCACCTGCCCTCAGGGGACCAGCTGCCCAAGACAGCTCCTGCCCACGCCACCCCTTGGAGCCAGCCCACGTCACTCCCGCCCCCGCTTCCCCCGCACGGCCAGCACCTTGACCAGCCTGGTGAAGTAGTGCTTGTCTCTCCGCCCAGGGTGGAGCCAGGCCAAGTCCAGCCCGTCGAAGCCGTGGGTTCGCAGAAATGGTGGCACCGACTTGATGAAAGCCCTGCGACTCCCAGACTTGGATGCTATTTTGGAAAATCTAGGGCCCGAATCACCCCAGTGGAGTGCTCAGCGCGGACAGGCTGGTGGTCTCGGGCATCTCAAGGGGTTTCTGAGGCCTGTGAAGTAGGGGCCTGAATCCCAAGTTCCAGAAGGGCGTGGATGGGACGGGACCCACCTCCAGGCATCTCAGCAGAGCTCTGGAGCGGCCAGTCCCGGGTTCCAGGCCCTGCACTCACGCCCACTAGCCAAACAGCCTTGGAAGGGTCATAACCCGCATCTCAGTTTCCTTGTCGGTGAAGTGGGGATCATTAACGTGTCTCACGGTGCTGTTGTCGGGTTCCCCTGTGATCGTGGCTGGATGGGGTGCCTGATGCCGAGCGATCACCCAGTAAGTGGGAGCAAGTAGGGCCATGACTTGTCCCCTTTTTTGGGCCTGCTCCAACCTTACCCACCCCAGGGCATGCTCCCAGGCTCTCCACACTCCCCAGTTTTCCATTCCTTCCCTCTCTCTCCTTCCAGACCTGAGGGCAGTATCTCCCAGAAGTTCTGTGTTCTCAGGTCTGAGAGGCAGTAAGTGGAGCATCTGTAGGGAGTCAGAAGACCCACCGGCAATGTACTGTGTGCCTCCCTCTCTGGGCTCCGGTTTCTTCGCTGTACGTGGGGTGCCCCCTGACAACCATTTGGGTCCCCATGCCAAGCCTGTCTGCAGCCCCTGTGGCCCTCTCCAGTGGGTAGGAGAGACCTATGCCTCCTCCCCCGTTCCATCATCCTCTGGGGATTGGGTCCTACCTTTGAGAACCAAAGTTCCATCCTCCAACAGATAAGAGGGTCTTCAGGTTGGGGTTCCTGTGGGGCACAGGGAGGCAGGAGGGCCGGGTGGAGTGAAGCTATTGTAACATGGGCCCCATGGGTGGGCGGCTGCTGCAGGCTTCTAGCATTGGGTGGCAGGTCTTTCCCACCCTTGAGATTCAGGGTTGTAGGAAGCATGGACTTTGGTGGGGGGTGCGGGTAACTCTGAGGTAGGCTGCCCGTTTTTATTTCCCCTGAGTGGGGAAGCCAGGAAATGGCAGAATAGGGTCATGAGTATTTTCCATGTTCCCTCAAGAGGCACCCCTAGGGGGAGAGAGGGCTCCCCTTCCCCAGGGGAGCTCAGCGGGCCTTGCTCTACAGCCTGCCTCTGTCATCACTGGGTATGGCCCAGCACGTGCCCTCGTCACCTGCTCCCCCCCAAAGCCCAGGCCCTCCAATTCCCCAGCCAGGGTCCCAGGGACCATCACGCAGCTTCCCGAGCCCAGGCACCCTGCCCTGGGACCAGCCAGCCCGTCTAGCCCTCCCCCCCACCTCCCATCCTGGCAGCCTGGGGCCCAACCTTAACTTGAGCATGTTCAGCGTGTCATAGAGGGTGACATCATTCCACTCCCAGGTGTCGATCTCGTTGTTGCTTATGTTGGCGAAGCTGTAGATGACGTGGGTGCACAGGAAGGGGTCGATGGCATCTGGGAAGCAGCTCCCCAAACTGTCCCTGTACTGTGACCAGCTGCTGTAGTAACAGACCAGTTTGTACGCAGAGCCTGGAGAAGAAGTCTGGGGTGATGCCCGAGCCAGGATGGAGCCAGGGGCCTCTGGCTGAGCCCCGCACTGAGCCCTGATGGTGTACTGGGGGCTGGGATGTGAGCCAAGTTAGCTTTCTCAACACAAGGGGCTGTCTTGGTTCCCTCTGCTTCTGATGAAAATAAGGCCTATTCTGAAAATGTTTTGAACGATTAAATGCAGTGGGTGAATATGCCACAGACTAAGGACAGGGCACTGTGTGTGGTGAGCATGGGGGCTGGTGAATAAAGGGAAAAGGGGACTCAGTGCAAGTAAAAAAGGCTTCCTGGAGGCAGTGGCTTGGCAGGAGAAGGAGGTACCCAGCCCCAAACAGTTAGTGTCAGAAGACCCTGGCCGTCAGAGTGGAGCCTCGTGGAACCTGCAGGGGGTCATCGATCTGGGAGGCTCTGCTTCTTCTCTGCCTTCCTTTGGGAGTGTCCCTAACTTGTAACCCACCCAGAGGGGGCGCGGTCCCCAGTCCCCCTCAGCCTGTCCCCCAAGCTGGGGCATGATCACAGCGGACCAGGAAGTTCTTCCTCTCCTCATTCCAAGTCCGCCTGCTGCAGAGTAAGCCTTTTCCACCCTCTCAGTTACGGAGGGAGAACAGTGGGCATTGCTTGCCCCCGCTGCCCCTGGGCCCATCTGCGGTGCCCACCAGGCCACAAGTCCAGGCCTTTAGTGGACTAGAGCCTTGGAATGGTTTTTCTTTTGAAAAATTTCAAATACACAGGAAAATAGAGGATAGTATCATAATCATCCATATGCGTACGGCCTCAATTTAACAAATGTTACTGTTTCTGAGTCATTTGACACACAGGAGAAACTGGAGAGTTCTCCCCCCTGCCAGGATCTCCTCCGCATCAACCTCCCCACAAAGAGGGGTACTTACAGCTCTGGAGCAGCACCAGGACCACGAAGCCTAAAGAGAAACCCAGAGTCAGAACCCCCTGCGAGGACCTCCTGCCCTTCCTTCTGCTGCTCCATCTCCCACCCGGGCCATCAAGGGGTTAACAGCCTCTGTGCTGTGGCTCCCTGGCCTGTTTGGGCCTTTCAGCCTGAAAACCCACAGCCAAGCTGGCCTTGACCGGCCCCCAGACCTGTCTGAGCCACCCTTAGCACCATCCTGGCAGTGGAAGAGCGGGCCCTGGTGTGGCCTGGTCCTGGATGCTCAGCTCCTACGTTCAGTCGCCGAGACAGGGCCTCTTCTCAGGGCCTCATGCTTCCTTTTTATACCTGTCCCCTTCCACTCCCACGAGCCCCCAGACATCCCATTTACAGGAACTGAGCTGTGTCAAGGAAGGAACTACAGGCTGGGACGTGGCCAGGGAGGAGCACTGCGAGCCACCAGAAGATTGAGAAACCCTGGAGAGTTTTGGAAATTTGGGGCAGGTCTCTGGGGGGCATCTGCCACCCACGGGGTTGATGATCTGGTGGCTCCTGGGTGAGTGACCCAGCCTCCTTCCCAGCCACCTTCTTTGTTGCTTTCTGGACCCCCCCACCCCCGTCCTCCCCTCACTTTTCTGCCTGCAGTTCCCAGGCTTTTCTGGCTGCCTCTCGGTTGGCATCACCAGCCCTCCACCCAGGCCCTCGGCCAGGTGGAAAGCTGGCACAGCTGAGTTCTGTAACCCATAGCGCCCCAAACAGGCTGTTATTTACTTTCTCCCCAGGCCTGCCACATCCTGCCTGATTCACTCCCCCACTCAGACTTTCTTTCTCCAAGCCTGGTTCCCACAGCCTGGTTGCTGTGCTGGTAATTTAAGGGAAACCAGGGGAAGAATGGAAAATTAATCCCCCCACCACCACCCGCGGCTGCTCTGAGGCCTGAAGCTGTTTTGCTTCCTTTTTGAAATTCCAGTTCCAGGGAGAGGGAGGTATTTTCCCCGCAAGCCTAGGGCTGCTGCGAAGGACCAAGGAGTTAATCCCTGCAGCTCCAGATTTCCCCCAGGAGCAAATAATCCCAGAAGGTCGAGAACCTCTGTAAGGTCTCTCAGTGATGCTTCTGACACCCAGACCTCACGATGTCACAGCACCCCCCCCCCCGCCCCCAAGTCCTTGAATGACTCCTTATCATTGTCAGAGTAAGAACGGAACTTCTTTTTTTTTTTTTAATTTATTTTTTTTAAAGATTTTATTTATTTATTTGACAGAGAGAGATCACAAGCAGGCAGAGAGGCAGGTAGAGAGAGAGGAGGAAGCAGGCTCCCCGCTGAGCAGAGAGCCCGATGCGGGGCTCGATCCCAGGACCCTGAGATCATGACCTGAGCCGAAGGCAGCGGCCCAACCCACTGAGCCACCCAGGCGCCCCAAGAACGGAACTTCTTAAGGAGGCTGTGCAGGCTTTGCCCTTTGTTTGGGGATACTTCCTTTGGCTAAAGATCCAGGGCAACTCCATTCTCCGCAGGCTGCGAATTAATGAATAGGCGGTGAGTGAACATTTCCAAACTCCAAGAGCCAGAGTGGGTCAGAGGGTTTCTTAACAAAGTTCTTTTATTTGTACCCTAACGTTAAGTAATAATCCGACACTGGCCACCGAGGTTTCACAGGCCTCTCTGGGTGAGTGAGGTCTCTCCCCGCCTCCCGCTCCTCTCCCTTCCTCTCTCTGTAAAACTGGAACGACTCCTCTTTACTGGTCGAGGGGTGGATAAGAAATGCTTTGTCCAGAGTCACTCTCTGCGTACCAAAGGGTCACTGCCTCTCCCTTCTGAGACGACTGCCTCCTTTTGGACCCTACAGGGTAGACAGCAATGCCAGTCGGCGATAACTTTTCCTCATTCATTGCACGCTGAGAAGGGGACTTCCTCTAATCGTTAGAAGAGGTATTACAAAGTCACATGCAATAAAAATGTGTTCAGGGGCTCCCGGGTGGCTCAGTGGGTTAAGCCTCTCTCTGCCTTCGGCTCAGGTCATGATCTCAGGGTCCTGGGATCAGCCCCGCATTGGGATCTCTGCTCAGCAGGGAGCCTGCTTCCCCCCCCTCTCTCTGCCTGCCTCTCTGCCTAGTTGTGATCTCTCTCTCTCTGTCAAATAAATAAATAAAATCTTTAAAAAAATGTTTTCATTACGGGGTGAAGTATGACTTCCAATTTTCAATCTCCCTTTGTTAAAAATTAGCGGTGAAATAAAAAAAAAGCGGTGGAAACCAGCCGCTTTCTTATACGTTCTCATTTATGACCTATCTTCACTTGTTAGCCTCGTCAAAATCAGGGATAAAATTGTTTTTGTCAGAGAGCCCATACTTACGAGCCCATAGGCTCAGATTGGCGCAAGTCGTCTTGTCCTGTGTCCCTCTTCAAACCAGTTTATTAATTCCACATGTTCTATAGGAAAGTGGCATCGTCACAAAAAATGGCCAAGATATCCCTGTGCCAGCCTCAGCAGTACTGGCTAAGGGTCCCATGGCTCAGCCTCTCCCAGCCTCATCTCATGTCCCCCTCTTCCCTGCACTCCACCCATGCCTGCCTTCTTTTATATCCTTATATATGCTCTACCCTTGCCCACCACAGGGCCTTTGCATAGGCCATCCTACTTGCCTATCAACAACCGAAGGGCCTGAAGTTTTAAGCTGTTTGCAAACTAATGAGACAGCCAGTTTCCTGGATTCTGGCAGAAGACACAAGAATCCTAGGTCAGAGACAAAGGACTTATTTGCACAACAAGAAGCATGAATTTCATGTTTGTGTCATTTTCTGTGATGAGAAAGCAGCTACTTTGAATTGCGGTTTGGACATTTTCTAGTATGATAATGCTGTTCACACTCAGAGTCTGGACATTCAGATAAGGACCCGAGCTCAGATTCCTGCCACAAGTTCCTGCTTTGCTTTTCCTGACATACCTTTTAAAAGAACCGTTTACAGTTGAGCCTGTGAAAAGTTAGTGACCTCCACCCCAACCACCTTGTAAGTAATAGGTGCTTGCTCTCTATCTCCTGCCTCCAGAGGACCACCCTTCTTCCTGCTGATTACCATTTATCCTTGTTTCTGGGATTTTTAAGTAAAAATCTTGTGACTTGACATTCCTCATGTGACGGTATAGAAACCGTGCCTCCAGTCAAAATGACCCCAGGGTTTTCACTTCCCCAGAACGGGAGCTCTGATGCTGGAGGTGCCACCAGCCGAACCCCTGGGGATGGCTTGTGCCTCTTTCTTCAGCAGGTCATAATCTGCATTTACTTCATTTAACACACAGCTACGGGCCCCCAACACACTTCCTTTGGCCCCACATTCCGGGGGTGGGCAGGGGTGACGTCGGAGCAGCCCAGGTGGGTGCTGTGTATGCAACGTCTTGCCCCACAGCAGAGGAACTCTGAGTTTAAGAAACCCAAAGCTTGTACAACGTGCAGCGAGCCTGCCTCTCCTTGGACCTGCAAGGAGACGTTATCTTTACTATATTGGACAGTCAATGAAGCTGCCTTTTGCTCCTGGGGAAGACACTGTTTCTGTCTTCCAAGGCTGTTTGCTATACAAATGTCATCAAAAAGGTAGCCCGGAACAAAGACAGCCTGGTCCTCTGCTCCTAGGATGTGCAGAAATGCAAGAGACCCAAGGGCAGTCATCTCCCAGCTCTGACCTGTGGTCATTTCACTCCTATTCATCCTTCAGACTGCAGGCAAGGACTCGGCCAATTCTTTTGAAGTTTATTTTTAAGTTCAAGTATAATTAACATACAGTGTTATATGAATTTCAGATGTACAATATATGATTCGACAAGTTTATGCATTAGTGCTCATCATAGTAAGCGTACCCTTAATCGCCTTCACCGGTTACACCCATCCCCCTGCCCATCTCCACTCCGGTAACCACCAGTTTGTTCTCTGTATTTAAGAGTCTGTTTTTTTATTTGTCCTTTGTTTGTTTGTTTCTTAAATTCTACATATTAGTGAAATCATATGGTATTTGTCCTTCTTTGATTTATTTCACTTTACATTATACCCTCTAGATCCATCCACATCATTGCAAATGGCAAGATTTTCTTTTTTATGGCTGAGTAATATTCCATTGCATATCTCACACACACACACACGCCCGCACACACACACGCAATGGAGGAAAAAATATATATCTCATATCTTCTTGCTTCCATATCTTGGCTATTGTAAATAATGCTGCAATAAACATAGGGGTACATGTATCTTTTTCAATTAATGGTTTCATTTTCTTTGGGTAGTAGTAGTACCAGTAGTAGAATTACTGCATCATATAATAATTCTATTTTTAATTTTTTGAGGAACCTCCATTCTGTTTTCCAGAGTGGCTGCACCCGTTTGCATTCCCACCAACAGTGCAAGAGGGGTCCCCTTTCTCCACATCCTCGCCAACACCTGTTGTTTCTTGTGTTGTTGATTTTGGCCATTCTGACAATTGTGAGGTGGCATCTCATGGTGGTTTTGATTTGCATTTCCTGGATGAGGAGTGACGATGAACATCTTTTCATGAGTCTGTTGGCCATCTGGATGTTTTCTCTGGAGAAATGTCCATTTATGACTTCTGCCCATTTTTAGTTGGATTACTTGGGGTTTTTTTGGTGCTGGGTTGTATCAGTTCGTTCTATATTTTGAATATTAACTGGGATTGGGTTAATTTTATTCACTGTTGTGTCCATCTTTAGTTATTGACACGGAGTAGATGCTTAGTAAAATACTCACTGAATGACTAGACGAATGAATGAGTGAGTGATCTCAAGAATGGTCCATAACTCCAAACTCCTCTATTCTGAGTTTGGAACCTGATATTCATCTCATGTGATAGTTCTTGTCACTCTGAATAAGCCCCCATGTTATCCTGGTCATCCATGTACTCATCCGACCAATGCTTACCAAGCCCTCACAGGTGCCTTGCACTGTAGGGGAGGACAGAGACAGAAAGATGAGCGAGAATAGAGTCAGTCCCCATTCTCTTGAAGTATATGGTCTGTCAGAGAAGATGGACATTAAACAAAGAATCACATAGTAAGTTATTTATTAGAATTGTGAGAAGTTTACCAAGAGGGAGTTGGGAGACTTTATAAGTGGTGTGGGTCTTCGGGGAAAGCTTCCATGGGAAGCGATGTGTAAACAGAGGTGAGAGGGAAGGGAAGGTTTCTGGTCTGGCTAAAGAGCATGTGAGGCAGAAGAGACAGAAAAAGCC